ATCCTATTGACTCCGCAAGAGCGCACGCAGTCACGCACTGCCCCTGCTGGTGCGTGGGTGCACCTAGACCTAGAAATGGAAGTCACGCTCCTGTCCAATAAGATATTTTGACTTTTCTAAATACATTATTTCTGTTATGCACTTAAATTCATATGCATGTGAACTACAAGACAAAATTCCTGAAATTTTGTTTTGTAGTTCACATACAAGTGAAATTTGTTATTTTCGTATGATTTTTTTTTTTCTAAAAATGGTTTTACATCTCAACTTTGCATGTGACCACATATGTCAATGAACTATAGATATGCCAAGTTTCAAATTCTTTTGAGTTATACAAGTGCATTTTGAATTGGTTTTCATGTTTTCACCAAAGATGTGGTTCCCATCATATATTTCCACTAGTTAGCTAACAACTAATTGAAGGCTTGACAAAAAAAATAACATTCATATCTAGAAGCTACAACCCTGCAACAAACAAGTTAGAGCAGCAGGTATAGAAATTCAGTGCAGTGACCAAATACCAGACACGTCCGGTATTAATACCGGACACGTCCGATATTCACGGGTTTGCCCGACCAGCTCTCAACTTGCTCCGATTGATCTCTCTTTTCAAACCAAGGTCCAGACCACTATCGGTAACCCGCAGATAAGCTCAAACAACACACAAAGATCACAAATACCAAATGTAGAGAGAGATCGAGACACGGTATTTGTTTTACCGAAGTTCGGACTCCGTCGAGTCCTACTCTCCGTTGAGGGGGCTGCGAGCGACCCAGCGAAGGTCAGCTATAGAAGACCACGAAGGCCACTCTAGCCGGAGTCTTTTTCAACTCCTTTTTCTCCTTCCACTAGTTGATTCCATCCCTTGCGGCGGTGGAATCGAACTGTTACAAACTTTTCGAGGCACACCACAATCTCTTGGGTGCTCTCCGGCGACGCCTAGCCGTCTAAGACCAAAGAGTCCAAAAGTAGCAAATGCAAATCACGAGATCGACAAATATGCACAAGTGCTCAAGGGTGGCTTGCTTTCAATTTTGAATCTCACTCAACCCACAAGATGATTTTGCAAGTTTGAATCACTCACTCACTAAGAGAGGGTTGGAGAGTGTTGTCAAGGCTCAAAAATGTGTGAGGTTGTCAGCAGAATCAGCCACCTCCAAAGGTGGAGGCTAAAGGGTATTTATAGCCCCTTTGAAAAACTAGCCGTTATGTAGCCATTGGGCAATACTGGACACGTCCGGTATCTGCCGTACAGCCCCAACGGTAACTTTGTCAATGTCGTTGTGAGGCGTCGGAACTCCCGACGAGCCAAGCCGAGACAACGAAGAAATTGCTGTGACAGGGCAAATACCGGACACGTCCGGTAGGTATTGCCTGCACAGTGCCAACAGTCACTGAGTCAGTGGCGCAAGTGAGGCGTCGGAACTCCCGACGAACCAACCCGAGAAAGCTAAGGAAATTGCTGTGGCTGGGAAAATACCGGACACGTCCGGTATTGCCAGACCAGCAACACCAAGTTAGATCTTATGTCTCTCAAACACTCAAAACTCAAAACACTTATGAATGATTATCTATCAACATGATGCATCTCTCTTAATAGTACGGCATACCTATAACTCAAGTTTAACTGAAAAAGGAATTTGAAGCGCTTGAGTTGAATTTTCTTGAACCGAAATGCCATAGCTTTCAATCTTCATCAAGAGAGGGTGTCAACATGTCGACTTTAATTTTATCCTTGAGCATAGTCATCTTGACCATTTTGACTTGATTCTATTCAATAAATGTGAATTGGCTTCAAAGTTATCAAATCATCCATTTATAAAAGTTATGTAGGATTTGATTCTCCACTTCAATATGACCAATATGGTTTGATCGGTGCCTTGACTAAATGCAAGTACTTCCTTCTTTACCTTAGCTAGGTTCCTTGATCACCAAGCCATCGCTTGCCCTTCACCCTTGCTTAGTACCTCGAAGCCTTTCCTTGCTATCTTCACCATCTCAAGCCATCTAGCTACATCTGGTGTCGAATCATTCATTAAACTCATTTGTATACATGTCTTTAACTTAGCAAGCTTTAAAAGGTGAAACCAATCCATATGCAATCCCTCACGTCTCATTAGTTATTATTCACCGTGCTTGCTTTCATATGAGTCATCGAAATCCCACAATAAACAAGCATTGCATGAATTACATTTGCATTGTTGTCTTGTGTTTGAACTAGATTGTTTTCAACAATACATCATTTTGGCTTTCATTAAGTACCTGTGAGATAACCTATTATTTGTCCACACTTAGCAAACGGGTTAGACCTTTAATCACGTTATCATTCAATCATCCAAAACCCACTAAAGGGCTAGATGCACTTTCACTATCAAAGTAGATATATTATTATTTTTTAGTCAAAATATAATCTATCAAAATAACAAATAAATAATTTATTTTATTCTCATGAGATATTAATAATTTAAATTAATTGTCAAAGTGTGCTTCCTTAAGAGAAGAAATTTTCGTAATTGCTAAACAATAAAAATATGTATCTATCACTCATGCATGATTGTATTCATGATCTCCATGTGGCATACAATATGTATGTTTGTTTTGAGATAACTTTTTACCTATTAGTCACATCAGCGGGCAATTAAAAATATATGTAGGCATATATATCTAAAAATAATTTGGTGGGATATTTTAACTTATATTTCATAATGACTAAGGTGTAATTCTATAAAAGGCAATTCTATCAACAGCCCACATCTGAGGTTTTTAAAAATTCTAAATTTTGAATTTCAAAATCTAAGAACTAAAAATGGACACTTTGATTATCTTTCCTAATAATAAATTTGGGTAACTACGAAGAAATAGAAAAGATCCGATGACTCCGTTGTCGTTCATTTTGATTATCTTTCACAATAATAAATTTGGTTAATTATGAAGAAATAGAAAAGATCGAACGACTCCGCTGTCAATGATGGTTGGACTCTAATAAATGGATGGTCTAATGTTTCTGATTTATTAAATGGATTAGATCTTTTCTAAACGTGTCTCGCGCGTAGAGACTACATCGAGGAAGCATATTACTGAATTATACTCAATTCCGATCGCGTGTGGCACGAGCAGGTTTGGGGCCAATGGAGCCATCAGAGCGTGTCGCAGTTGCTCGAGGGCTGCCCAGCCGATGGGCCGGGCCCGCAGGAGATGTTGAGGTGCATCCACGTCGGGCTGCTCTGCGTGCAGGAGGACCCACGCCTCCGGCCAAGCATGGCGTCCGTCGTCATCATGCTCAACAGCCGCTCCATCACGCTGCCCATTCCCACGGTGCCGGCCTTTGTGAGCCCAGCCGAAGGGCCGAGGGCGGCTGCTCCGGAGCCGTCGATCGACGAAGGGTCTGTCTCTGACTTGGAACCTCGTTGATGGTGTACTGCTGCTGCATGGAGGACGTCAATGAATCACTGCTACTATTCTTGTTGAATTGAAGGTACGCGAGTAGCCTTCATGTAAATTCCAAAGGCAGCTAGGTCAAGTAGTAGAGGGAACAACATTAATCGCATCAATATATTTCTCGCTGAGTATGGAACTGGTTTGGAAATAGCCATCCATCATTTGGACTCCTAACTGTAGCGGCTCCTGAAGCCTGATCAATGATCATTACTGGAATTCATGATAAACGTCATAGAGAAAATTTCTTATTTGGCCCTAGTTTAAAGTTGCATTTCTTCCTTGGCCCCGAAACAAAATTTGTTACCTATTTGGCCTCACTTGAAGTTTCGTTTTCTAATCTGACCTTACCCTCATCTCCTGCCTCTAACACCGTTAAGTGGCACATGAAATGACCAAACTGCCCCTGAGACATTATGAGAAACCAAAGGTCACCCAGGCAAATTTGTTATGCTGCCCCTAAGACATTTGGTTTCTCATAATGTCTCAAATGACCAAATTTGTTATGCTGCCCCTGTGACCTTTGGTTTCTCATAATGTCTCAGGGGCAGTTTGGTCAATTTATGTGCCACTTAACGGTGTTAGAGGCAGGAGATGATGGTAAGGTCAGATTAAAAAATGAAACTTCAAGTGAGGCCAAATGGGTAACAAATTTTGTTTCCGGGCCAAGGAAGAAAGTCAACTTTAAACTAAGGCCAAATAAGAAATTTTCTCAACATCATAAGGGCTTCTAGGACGCCCTTTCGTGCTCCATGGGAAGATTGTTACTAGCAACTCCAGCAATACCCTAAAATCGATTTTTAGAGCTTCTAATTTTGGGGTGATTTATTTTGTGAAGTTAACCCCCAAAATTAGAGCCCTACTTTCTATTTTTCTCTATTTTTGCTCTCTTCGCTCAAATGGTTTGTCCAACTCGAAGTTCAAACATAGCGATTCAAATATAGAAGACACCAAAGGCAAGGGGTCTGGGCTCAGGAATAATAGTTAGCAATTGCAAATCGAAAATGTAGTTCATCATTGCACAATCCAATTGCCTCGGTCAAAATTGCGTAATCCAAATTGCCTCGGTCAAAATCAGAACCCAAAAACTGTTCCATACCAAGTTGCATCTCTATATTAGTTCGGGTAGCCCAAGTGGTACAAAACAGTTTGACTTTTATCTCCTTTTATTTTATAGTAGAGTGATAATAACGACAAGAATTGCTACGGCGGTGCACATACCAATTGATATCGTAAATCAAGCAATCCACAATTATGCATGCATGTCACGCCAAAAATATAATATTATTTTGTGTCATGGACTCATGATTAATATATTGTCCCTCTATGCTATGGATTAACTTGGACATAATAGCACAAAAGCAAAAACAAAAAAAAAAGTTTTTAAAAAATAACACAAAATCATACAAACCCAGATAAGACATGAAATTCTTGCTTATAATTAAACTCTAACATCATAAACAATTCTGTACATAAGAAGATACTCTCTTTGATTTAAATATAGAAATAATGTTTATTTAAATGGAGTGCAGTCTAAGAAGATTATTAAGTAGTGTAGTAGTAATCTAAGCTAGGCCTACGTAGTCCAATTCTACGGATCCCAGCCACAGCTGCCCGTCCTTCTCAGAGACGTCACTCAGGGTCACACCCTTGGCCGCCGTCAGCTCCTCCACCGTAGTCCCGTCTACACCGAGCCGGACGCCAACAAGATGCTTCATTGGAGGCGCCGTCGTGTCGAGCCGCGCCTTCTCCTGGTTCAGCGCTACCCAGTAGCCGCCCCTGGTGTCGCGCCTCACGTTATCCGGGTAACCAGGCAGGTCCGCGAGGAGCTCATGTTGGCGTCCTTGGGCCCCTTGAGCCAGTACCTGAACGCCTGGCACGGTACGGTGTGCGCCACCACTACATGCGTCCTGTCGGTGCTGACCGCCACGCCGTTGGGGTACGGCAGGTCGGCCTTGAGCACGGTGACTTGCTTCGTCCGCGCATCGTACTTGAGCAGCCGCCCCGTCGCGTCGGCGTTCATCATAATCTCGGTGTTGAACCTGCGCGCGTAGGTGGTGCTGCTGTCCGTGAAGTATACGTCGCCGGTGGCCTGATCGACGTCGAGCCCGTTGACGAAGTGGAACGGCACGCCGTCTGCCGCTTGCGTCGCCAGCACCTGCGCCCACTTGAGGACGCGGCCGTCCGAGACGCCGGCGTAGGGGCCCTGACCGCGGCGGTCGAAGGCGAGGCTCTCAGCGCCGGTGACGCCGTCGGGCAGCGGCAGGTGGAAGCTCCAGCGCGTGGGCGTGGTCTTGATCGGCTCGGAGGCGCAGAACGACGCTGGGAGCAGGAGCGCGAGCACGACGGCGAGTAAGAGCGACGCCGCACGTTTGATGCGCCCCATCTCGACTACGTTGTCAGTTGGCCAATTGAGCTACGTACTTTGGTTTGATGCGACGGCGAGGCGGGAAGGTAGGTGCCGTTTTATAGGCCTAGCGGTGCGCAGCGGCCGTGTCGGACTCGGACGCGGCCTCGTCCTTGTTTTCCTTGCCAGGTTCCGATCCGATATGTTGTGACTCCACTCTCCACCTCGAGTCCGACTCGCTAAACTGATTTGCGTCCATGGGGGGTAGGAATATTATATAGCGTAACGTGTTTGTTTTTTAATTTGAATTTGAGCAAAAAAAAATTTACAGCCCCTGTAATTTCAATGGAAAGAGCAGAAATGAAGGATCACGTCGTCTTCGTCCATGCTAAACCCTGCAATCCATCAACGTGCCTCCAAGTCAGAGACGGAGACTTTGTTGATCGACGTCGACGGCTCCCCTGTGGGGACTACGAAGGCCGGCTTGGTTGGCGGCGACATTGTGACGATGCGGTTTCTGAGCATGAGGAGGACGGACGCCATGCGGGGCCGGAGCTGCGGATCCTCCTGGACGCAGAGCAGCCCGATGTGGATGCACCTCAGCATCTCCAGCCTGTCCGGTTCCTCCGCCGGGTAGCCATCGAGAAGCTGCAGCACGCTGCCGAGGCTCCAGTGCCTCCAAACCTGTCCGTGCGGCCGTGCCCGCGCGCCCCATACATACATGATCAAAATTAGCTCGCCATTGCAAGCAGTGATGCGTGTTCTGATTCCAAGGTTACACTTACCAAGCTTAGCAGATCTTCAGAAGCTCGCCGGCCCGTGACGATCTCCAGGACAAGGACGCCGTAGCTGAAAACGTCTGACTTGGTAGAGAAGATGCCGCGATAGGCGTACTCTGGTGCCATGTATCCGCTGCATCTCGGAGACATGGCATGTCAGGACTCAGGATGCATGTACAAATGGAGCCACGTATATATCTCTCTATTGGAAAAACTGGACATAGACACGTTTGAGGAAAAAAGAAGAAGAATTAAGGAACTTGGAGACGCCAAACTTACTAAGTTCCAGCAATATGTCTCGTGTTTTCTGGGCTCGATTCCATCTTAAATAACTTGGCCAAGCCAAAGTCGGAGATCTTGGGGTTCATGTCTGCGTCTAGCAAGATGTTGCCCGGCTTGAGATCACGGTGGATGATCGTCAGCCGTGAATCCTCGTGAAGATACAGAAGCCCTCGGCTGATCCCTTCGATGATCTTATACCTTTGTCCCCAGCTTAACTGCTGTTGCGTTTTAGGATCTGAAAGTTTGGTTTATCTCACTTAGTAGTTAGTAAACAAATGACCAAGTGATATGATATGAAAATAAAATGATAGTGATCACTGGTTCATGCACCGAAAAGGATTTTATTGAGGCTCTTGTTGCTGAGGAACTCGTAGACGAGGAGCTTCTCTTCTTCATCGATGCAGAAACCGAGTAGGCGCACCAAGTTCTTGTGTTGGAGCTTTGCAACGAGGACAATCTCGTTTTTCATTTCCACAAGTCCTTGCTGTGAGATTGTTGACAGTCTTCACAGCAATGTCCTGCCCATTTTGCATCGTGCCCTGAAGAATATTGATGTCAGACCTTCATGTGTTTTGTGCTTATTTGGCAGCCACGCCAAAAGAAATGACTATTTGGCATGTTGGGCATTTTGCTAAGTTAAAATTCAGGCTGCAGGATTGAAGTTACTTTGTAGACCGGTCCAAAACTGCCTTTCCCGAGCATATTTTCTTCTGAAAAGTTGTCAGTGGCAGCCCGCAGAGTACCTAGATCGTACTGGAGAGTTTCTGAACCTCTCATTTCTTCGTCACCTCCATATCCTGTTTATATAAGATCGAGGAAATGAAAGAGTCAACTCAAATCTGAAGGTTACAGCACATTGTTCCAAAGATACGCTGAAGTTGTTTCAGCACATACGCTTGTTTGTAGTTCTGTTCTTGCAGATACAGACGGCAAGAAGCAGCAGCAGCAGCAGCAGCAGCAGCAGTGTGAGAGCAACAGGAACTGAGACGAGGAGAGCTGTATTCCTGACCGTGCGCCGACTGCTTCCTGGGCCTGACGTGGTGGAAAATTCAGAACGAAGCTGTTTCGACCTTCTTCGAATATGTTTTTTTAAGAGAATTGCTCCGGGACTCCTCTTTATAAAAAATTGTGCGCATCTCAAAGCAGCTCATTCATCAATAAATTATTTTTTTATTATTTTGCACCTGGGTGCTGCATGGGCCTGGCCCGTCCAAGCCTAACCCGTGCCCAGAAAACCAGAACTGATCCAGAATGAAAGTCACGCGTCCAGGATTGAATCTATCGGTGTTTTTGACCGGGGGTCCTCAACCAATCAGTGAATTTGAACTGCGTGCCTCTAATCCCGGATGGTGATGCAAAGAGACACAAGGTTTATACTGGTTCAGGCAATCGGTGCCCTACGTCCAGTTTGAGAGATCGATCTTGTATTCCTTGCACCGAAGTGCTTGTAGTAGGGGGTTACAAGCTGGGCGAGAGAGGGAGCTAGTCCCAGGTCTCTGCGTGGAGCGGTGCGGACTGCTTGAGACGTTGCTCTCAGGCAGCGGAGAAGCGTGTGTCTGGATCTACGTGAGCCTATGCGTGAGTTCGTCCATCTTCCGCCCCCGGTCTCTCCTTTTATAGTTGAAGGGGGGGGGAGTAGGGGCGATACATGCGTTTGCTATGCAGCGTCTTGTGAGCGGAGGTGGCGTGTCTGAGTCCTGTAGCTTGCTACTGTGGCGGCGTGGTCAACGGAGTGGTCTTGTCCTTGATGCACTGGAGCAACGCGCTGGTCACACCCGATCTTGTGCGACGTGGGAGCTCCAGTGATAACTTGGCGCAGGGCATGGCTGACGACGTGCCAGTCGCTATACGTTCATAGCGTAAAAAGCCGAGGCTCAGTTGGTGCCGAGGCCGAGCCATCGTAGGGGGCTCGGCGGGCGCAAATCTCGAGGCTGCCGAGGCCCTGAAGTGGATTGCCGAGGCTTGGAGGGAGCAGTTGGTCCTATACACTGATTTTGAGGCTATAGTGACCCGGACTTGACTCCCCACGCCTCGCTGTTCCTGGAGCAGGAATTAGGTGGCACAGTGCAGTACGGGCGCCAGTCATGGGCGCAGTGCTGAGCATAGTGTCCGGTAACCCCTGCTCAGTCCTGTCTCCCGTCCCGTCGGCTGCTCTGCTGCACTGCGTCGATGTGCGGCTGACGTTGCGGGAGTGGTTGGACGCGTGACGTTTTGTTAGAGAAGTCGGTCGAGACGGAGGCGATGAGGTTGTTGCCGGGCCGGCCTCGAGCGAGTCGGAGAATCGGTACTTCGTCTGAGGCTTTATGCGCGGGGCCTCGGGCGAATCGGAGAATCGGTAACCCGTCCGAGGCCTAGCGGGGCGGGGCCTCGGCGGGAGGGCCTCGGCGAGAGGGCCTCGGCAAGGCGGAAGGTTGGCCTTTCGCCCGAGGCCTTTGCGGCGCAGACCTCGGGCGAATCGGTGAATCGGCCGAGACCTCGTGGTTGTCCCTTGGCTTTGATTTTTGCAAGGTCTAAGCAATCTTTTCGGTTCTTGCTTAGGGTACCCCTTTTTATGGTATCCGACAGTAGCCCCCGAGCCTCGAGGAGAGTGCGAGCACTCTCCCTGAGGTTTTGTCGAGATTCTGGCTTACCGCGACTCCCGTCGGGATTGTGTTTTGTACTCGTGGTTCCGGTGGGTGCGCGCTAGCGCACCCGCCGGGTGTAGCCCCCGAGGCCCTGGAGGAGTGGATTTACTCCTCCAGGGCCTTTTCTCTGTTGAGTAAGGAGTTTTATCGCATTTTCTAGGCCCATGAGTACGAGTTCGGGTCACTGGACCTTGGCTTAGTTGCAGGAAGAGCCCCCGAGCCTCTGCTCGGAGCGAGAGGGCGATCAGTGGTTTCCCTGTATTTTTTGGTGGCCCTCACGCGTCCTTTTCGGTCGGAAGGAGGGGTGGAATATGTCAGGCTACCCTCGGTGGGCGCGAGCAGTGACATCTCCGGTGAGCTGTTATCGGGTCAGTCCAAGTGGAGGCCCGTGCCCCATTCGATAGGGGTCGGCTAACGGTCCAGAGACACACTCCAAAAGTACCAAAGGGCTTCTCTAGTGGGTCCCAGGGCCGTTCGATAGGCCCCGGGGGCTTGATGCCTCCCTACGATGGGATCCCATTCGGAGACCTCCCTGTCGGTCTCGGACATGACTTAGGGCTTCCCAAGCACTTGCTTGCTTGGCCATTGGCCATGTACGGGCTTGCCCACAGTCATCCCTGACCCTATTTGTCCTGGGGTGGCTGTCGAAACCTTTGGGGGCCCAGCCTTCGAACCCCTGGATCGTAACGGGCTCGGTGCCCTTTTTATCGCGTTTTTCGGAGCCTCCGAGTGCGAGCTTGGGTTGCTTGTTTTCGTTCTGGGTGCAGGAAGAGCCCCCGAGCCTCCGCACGGAGCGAGAGGACGGTCAGGAATTCTCCTGGCTTTTTGTGCAACCCTCGCGCATCCTTTTCGTTCGGAAGGAGGGGTTGTTTGCCGAGCCCTCGAGTGCGAGCCTGGGTCGCTGGGTCTCGGCAAGGTTGCAGGAAGAGCCCCCGAGCCTCTGCACGGAGCGAGAGGGCGATCAGGAGTTCCCCTGGCTTTTTGTGCGACCCTCGCGCATCCTTTTCGTTCGGAAGGAGGGGTTGTTTGCCGAGCCCTCGAGTGCGAGCCTGGGTCACTGGGTCTCGACAAGGTCGCAGGAAGAGCCCCCGAGCCTCTGCACGGAGCGAGAGGGTGATCAGGAGTTCCCCTGGCTTTTGTGCGACCCTCGCGCATCCTTTTTGTTTGGAAGGAGGGGTTGTTTGCCGAGCCCTCGAGTGCAAGCCTGGGTCGCTGGGTCTCGGCAAGGTTGCAGGAAGAGCCCCCGAGCCTCTGCACGGAGCGAGAGGGCGATCAGGAGTTTCCCTGGCTTTTTGTGCGACCCTCGCGCATCCTTTTCATTCGGAAGGAGGGGTTGTTTGCCGAGCCCTCGAGT